GAAACTACAGTAGTTGACTAGTTTGAAGGACAGAAAACATCAACAGACTGTGTATACTTTATGTGCGCTATAAAACTCATCATCTTTAGAATTAACAAGTACAGACAAACGGCAAAAACCAATTTTAAAGAAAATAAAAAGGGAAACACAATAATAGCTTAGATTTATTCACCTGGTCATAATTGTCATGACCATGAAAGAAAGGTTCCTTTCTGAAGATCATGGATGCCAGCATGCAGCCCAAGCTCCACATATCGAGGCTGTAGTCATACATCTGAATACAGTGGAAGAAGCAATGATGAGGAAAGAAGACGACTGAAACACTACTCGCTGAAATCTGTTACAAAGTCTATTTATTTACCTTACAATATAAAGCACCTTGAGGTGACTTGATATGATTTGGCACTATATAAATAAAACTAAACTGATTTGACTTAAAATACAGCCTAGCATTTCAAAAGGAACAAGACTGTAATTTTGGACACAACAGGTTCATTCAGGGTTATTCAGCGACTGACAAAGACTCAAAATTCAGTATCCACAGTACAAAGACCTCCAACTGCACTCCAGGAAAACGCTAAAGCACACGCTACTACCTCACTGCCATACCTGATAGTCCACCAAAAGTTCGGGTCCTTTAAAGTAGCGAGATGCAACTCTGACATTGTACTCCTGTCCTGGATGGTAAAACTCAGCCAGACCCCAGTCAATAAGACGCAGCTACAAAGAAATTAAGCGATTAGCACTCAGAACCAGGGTACGTACCAAGTACAAGTAAAGTAAGTGGAAATTAAAACATTGTGCTTCAACCTGTGAATGCAGTAGAGTGACTGTGAAGAACAGGAATCCACACAGAGAGGCAAACAGAGCACAACAGCAATGACAATAACTTTATCATGTTGTTACATTGCAGAAGCGACGTTATCTCTCACCCACCTTACGGTGCTCATGATCTATCATCACATTATGTGGCTTCACATCTCTATGCATTATTCCCATGCTATGGCAGTAATCCAGAGCCTACAAACAATACCAAAGGGACTTTGTTAAATACTGTTTAAGTTTTTCTTCCCAAGATTTCCAAAACAGCTAGAGATAATTCGTTGATTCTCCCTTCAGGAAAATGCTGATAACAAAATGAATTCAAGTATAAAAAGCCAAAGAAAAACACAGTCAAAGAACATTTTCCAGGGAATTAGTGTCTTGTGTAAGGTCTTCTTCACATGTATCACAACGTTGTGAGTTTGACACATCATAGAGTGAGCTGGAGGACTCACCTTGAGGATCTCATACATGTAGAATCGAATATCAAAGTCCGTCAGGGTCTGGTATAGTTGCTGAATACCAAAAATAAAATCATTAGCCTTTTAATGGTAAAGTCCTACAGCTAAATGACAGCATGTGTCACACAGAAGGAGCACTGTGCCAGTGATTGAGGATAGAACCAGAAGACTGTTGACTTTCTGGCACCGAAGACATAGCACTGGACTATGCTATTCCTCCATCACATACACACACGTGTACGGTAAAACAACGAGTATGCCAAGAAAGGAGGATGAAATATATTACAACAAAATGCGTGACAGAATAAAAATCATAGTGTGTTCCTACCTTGAAGTCTGTGTTGTTAACATGTTCAAAGACTAAGGCGGGTGTTCGGGACTGCAAGAGAGACATTTCATGTATTTTATTTTTCGTTTGCAGTTTCATACAAAATCCAAACAATTTAAGAAGAAGAAGAAGAATACACAAAGAAAAAGCACTAAATCTATCTCTGTACAAGCCAAGCAGACAGCACTCTGAGCCTTAAATTTTGTTTTAATATAAAACATCAAAAGTCTAATCAAACTGTGATCTCTGCACAACCATATCCACAAATAATGCTAATCACAGTGTGAATCAGAGCTACCAACTTTCACTATTAAATCTTTGATGCTCTATTAAAATCAGTTTCTATTTAAGTAGGAATAACCATGAAAGATATTCTCCACTCTCACCCAGGGAGATCAGTCCTGGAGATTTCTACCCTCTGCTTTTTGGACACTTTTTTTTTAACTGGTCACAGATTAGGGCTGCTCGATTATGGCAAAAATGATAATCACGATTATTTTCACTGACATTGAGATCTCGATTATT